AGTTGTTTTGGAAATGGTTTTTATAATAAAATTAATTTATATAGATTAATTAATATATATAAAAGTTATTTATGAATTTTTTAATTGTAGGTTTGACAGTTTAGGGGTTTTGCCCACAATTTAGGAGTTTTTAGGCAATTTTTGAGTTTCGCCACTAGTTTAGGAGTCTAAACTCCCAATGTCTGTAGGTGAAACTATTTTGGATTTTCTAAAATAATTTCAGCCACCATCATTAGTAAAGGATGGATGAATTCACATGCCCAAAACCAATCAACATATATGAGTTATTGCATGCAGAACATGCAATCATTCTTTGATTTTTTAGTCATTTTTGACATAATTATTGCATTCAATAACTGGTTTATTGTATGTCCAACTATGGAAATTTTAGATATTATGGTGCTGATCACGAGTACACATCAAAAAACCTGATTATCTTTCCAAATTAAGTAAAAAATTTTATAAAAAGGTTTTCTGAATTAAGATTTATGATCCAAATTAGGCAATTATTTGCAGTCTAATGTTTCAATTTGGCCTTTCGAACATAGTAAACATAGTAATTTAGCTTGAATTTAAAATGATATATCTCAGGTTCTATGCAACTGAATTGAAAAATCCAATCGTCAGTTTATAGCTTTACTTAAGATAGATGAAATGATGATTAGATTTTTTCTCTGTCTTGCTGAATATCCTTTTTAGGAAAGGGTATTTTTATTGGATGTGTACTTGTGATTGGCACTATACAATATAAAATTTTATGAATGTATCAAAATAATAAATATATGCAATTATAATAAAAAATGTAACTCTCTCTTGTGACAAACAATGAATATGAAACCAAGCTTGACTACAAAGATGGTTAAGATTAAAAGTCGAGCAAGAAAGATTTTAGCCAAAAGCAAAATTGTTTCTTTGACTTTTACTTGCAAGATAAAGTAGTAATTGAATGAAGATTATCCTGATTTAACACAGCTAGCTGAATTTAGGAAATAATGAACCAAGTGAAGTCATAAATTTAAAACTAGTTTCCTTTGGCTCATAACTAATTAACCAAATTAGTGATTGAAAACTGATACAGTGCCCAAAAGTTTAGATTTGGCCACTTACATTTCTATACAAGATCAAGCAAGAAGCACAATCCTACTAGTCATAATAATGATAGTAAAATAGATTGTTTCACAGAAATAAATTTCTTTATTAAACTATTTTCTGGTTTTTAATTTGAATATGTTATTTCACAAAAGCTTGAATTTTTCTCTTGTGAATTATCATTAATAGTTATCCTCTCCTGACGCAGTTGAACTTGAATTTGGAGTATATCTGGATGTGTGTATCTTTGACTTGGAACAATTTCTTTAGCTGTTAATTTGGATGTGCCAGTTACAACTTTGGTGAGTGATTATTTTGGACCATATTTGTTATACCACGTGTATTTTTCTGTTTTACCCATCAAATATGACAGCCAAATTTAAAGGTATATTCTTTTTTATCACATTTCCATCATTCAATTCAATAATTTGTGTATCAGCAATTTCATGTTTTTTTACCATCAAACTGACTATCATTTCTTGATTTTTGTAATTTGTTTTTCTTTTGCCATTATTATAAAGATAATTTCAATTTGTTTATATAGGGTATATAGATATAAAAACATTTCTAACCTCGAATCTCAAAATTCTATGATATAATAAGAATTAAGCAGCTAAAGCCTTAAGCTTTAATTCTATTGTTCTCCTTTTTATTTAACTCTCCCAGTTCAACTTTCAAAGATTATTAGATTACTTGAAAATATTTTCCTTCCATTCCAACTATACTGATCAATTAAGGATGAATTTCTACTTGGAATGGTTCGATTTTAAATGATTCACCAACAGTATTACTAATATAACCACTATGATTTTTTGATGATGTTAAACTAAAAGTTTTAACCTTACAACACTCAACCTGTAATTTTAACATATAATCAATTTGGTGAATTTGTGTTTAAAATAAATAAAGACAATGAATTAAATAAATACTTGTATATTTTCATTTTGATGATCCACACTAAAAAGAACATCAGGAGCATTTTTCTTATTGACAACATCTCATCTCTGGTTATTTGCCAATATTTCCATCATTTACACTCCAATATTTTGTCAACTATCAATTATGATAGTGATGATAGCTGTGGTGTTGGTGGTGGTGATTTATAAGAATTTTAATGATTTTGATTATCTGCTTTATTTTTCTTGCAATTTTAATAATGAATTCACATTTATATCTAAAACCTTGTAGAATTGTTTGCAAAAAAATAAAGATTGCTCATCTATTAATAAGCTAATATTGTTCAAATATTTTTTTAGTTTTTTTTAAAAAAAAAAACTTCCTGAATAATAATATACCACATTTATTTTGTGGCTTGATAAAAAAAAGGCCACAATGCCTCATGTTTTCGGTTTCTAAATTACAATCTGCAACTATTCCAAATATCTTTTTTACCCAAGTAACTGAACAACCATCAATGTTTAATTCTCTGCCAAATAATAGATAATAGATAATAAATATACCATATACATACATATGAAACGAATTTAATTGTTGATAATTTTATTAAATGATTATTAAATGATTTATTACCTTTAATAACAATAAGAGCAGAATATGCAGAATTTAAACCTAGTGATTCATCATGTAAACTAATATTTAAAGCATTACTTCAATAAATAGATAGCAGGAATTACACCAGTAAGAATATCTCTTTGCATGCCAAAAGATCGTTAATAGCTTTGTAAACAGTTATATTACCACTTATAGTAGCAACATATAATCCTAATTCAAGATTTTGAATAACTTTATAGCTTTACCCTTTTTTTAAACTATTGAAAGGATTCACAAAAACTTTAAATGGTTTGATTTTTTTTTAATATATTAATTATAAGCATTATTTTCTTAAAATGTATTATTGTTGTTGTTTACCTGGATAGATATCGTCATCAATAGCGTCAGACCATGATTGATGGAATCTTCTTTTGGTACAAAAATAAAATATTTCAATTGATAGTGATTTTGTTTTTTGTAATCGCAGCTTTGATAATAATGAGACTTTTCAACAAAAGATAAATCAAGAATGGATCATTAAACAAACGAATAGATAAACAACCATTATTCTCCATGAAAGTACCCAATCTAAAAACTAAAATATTAAAATAATAATGCCAGTTTTAATTTTCTTTCTAAGTGAATGTAAAATTGCATTTCCGTCATTTTTTCTTTACATGAAATAAATTTATTTTGGTAAAAAAAAATAAAAATAAAAATATTAGTTTATTATTTATTAATTTGCCAATTTTACAATTTTTTTTATCAAAATCAAATAAATAAAATTATAATTGAATAAAGCAAAAATTATATTTCCCAAATTTCCAAAAACTTTATTTATTAGATAGTATGTTTATGTATATTTATATATTTAAAGGCTATATTAACAAATTGCTGAATTAACAGCTAGAAAATAATAAAACTAATCAATGTAAAGGTTTGTGCGAATAAAAATAATAAAAATGAAAGAATAAAATCCCTAATGATAATAATAATAGTTAAAAGGGTATCAAGTATTTTAAAAATCATTCACACAAAAAACCGTAATATTTATAATGAATCATTTAGCACTTGTGTATTTTGTCACAGCTTTGGTTCCTTCAGATACTGCATGTTTTGCCAATTCGCCTGGAAGAATAAGTCTTACAGCAGTTTGAATCTCACGAGACGAAATTGTTGATCTTTTGTTGTAAGCTGCAAGTTTTGACGCTTCGCCAGCTATTCGTTCAAAGATATCATTTACAAAAGAATTCATAATCGACATGGCCTTATTTGAAATACCAGTATCTGGGTGAACTTGTTTTAAAACTTTATAAATATAGCTAGAATATGTTTCTTTTCTAGCTTTTCGTTTTTTAACTTTATTATCAGTATTAGTTGCTGCTGCTGCTGTTTTCTTTTTTTCGCCTGACGCTGCTGCTGCTGACGCGGCTGGTCCTTTTGAAGCTGGTGCTTTACCACCACTAGTTGCTGGTTTTTTTTCTGCTGCTTTTGGGGGCATTTTTTGATATTAAATTTTTTTTTTATTTTTACTTGAAAGAAATAACTTAAATATTTGAAACTATTATTATTATTATTATTATTATAAAGTCTTGGTATTTAATAAAAATAAAAAAAGAAATGAATAATACCTTTTTATCTTTTTATTTTTATTTTTTTTGGAGAAAGTTTTGGGAAAAATTAATCACACAAATCATAACCCTTTTTTATTTTTTTATACAAATTATAAATTACACAATATAGTTAGTTGGCTCAGTTTTAAAATTTTAGTCCTACCATAAAAAAAATAGCTTTATTAGTCGATTGAATAAGTCTCTCTACTTCTAATGTAATAGAGATATATTTTTTCAAAAAAAAATATGTACATAGAGTTCTTTCTATATATTCTTTCTTTGTGAGGAATTTGAGCGCTAAGATCATTGCTAAATTTAGCAACAAGGTTAATTAGTATTAGCGTGGCGATTTTAAAGACATTTTTTGATTTATACCGTTATAATAGCTAACCAACAATTTAATGACAAATTTAATATATACACAGCATGGTTTCATTTTGTTTTTGTTTTATTACACTAAAATTACGTGGGATCCATTTTGCAAATATCTTTAAAAATTTTGAACGAATCACGAAATCACTATTTTTGAAATTTGATCTCGTGGTGCAGAAATAGGAGGTCTTAGACCGTACCAACCCAGAGACAATGATTTTCTACGGTGACGAAACACTAATTCTGTCTATGCTAAAAAAAATTAAAAACACTAATATTATATTCTGCGGTTTTATATTTTTCAAAAAAAACGAATCTATAGTTAAACGGTGCAATCAGCTGCGCGACCATTAAATTGGTCATTATTATTATTGTTATTATTATTGTTATTTTTCCTTATTTAAAAAATATAACAAAACGGAAATCTAAATTTTGTCAATTATCATCTATAATTGCATTATATTTAGAAAGACTTTGTTCTACCATGTATGTATATTCAAATGCTATTTGAGATAAATGAGGTAAATTTTCGGCCATATTTGACAAGCATTCCACAATAAATTGCCATTCATCTAATAAATTATTAGATAGATTATTTAATTCTTTAATAATATCGTATTGACGTATACCTATATCTCTTTGTGTTAAATCAACAAATTGAATAAATTTTGGATCAAAAATTCGACATGCACTAAAAAGAGGACATCCATGATGAGAGGAAATATGTGCTGCAAACTTTTGATGAGCAATTTTAAATGCTTGTTATAAAACTCATCTGGGCGAAAATGATAATTAGTAATTATTGGACCCAAATTAAAAAAATTTGTTGCAACCATGGTACTTCTTTCTATATATGCAGAGATTTTGTGGTTGACTTTCAATAAAAGGAAATACTGATTTTTCTAGATTGCAATGAGTGAAAGGAGAGATATGAAGTTTTTAATGCTAATACATACATAAGATGATCTTTTGTATAATTAACCACTTGAAGCCAAGAATTCCATCTTGATTTTGCAAGGAAGAGTAATTTTTCGTAGTTGATTAAATCCATGAAATCGTAAATGATCCATCCATATACTGACGAAGACGTGCTGGACTTCTAGTGAACATTTCTTTAACTTTTTCTAACAATGTTTTAATTACTGAAAAATGATTAAACATACGCCAAGCATCACCAAATAAAAATTAATTTATTAGGTGCAACAGTAGGAAATATGAATTACTTCACGATAACATTTTTCATATATGCAGCGAATGTTAACAAGTGTATGGCCCACAGTTACATTATTTACATGTGCAAGAAAGTCTACAGAGACTAATTTTGTATTGTTGTTACATGCAAAAAGAGTGTTAGCTACACTTCTTTGATAAGCATCCGTAGCTTCATCCATGATTATAGCAACAGATTTTCGACAAAAAAGTATTTTAAGATTTTCCAAATGTGCAGAAAACCACCTTCTTTACAATGTTTTCTAAAAAAATTAAAGGGATATCTGCTATAGCAAAGGCTTCAATTAAATAGTGAATTGTAATTTTTTAATTTTAGAAGAAGAAAGAGAGGTATCAAATGTCTGTTGAAGTTGACGTTGTTTATTTTCATACAGATTTTCATCAACCGCTGAAATTACAAAATCAACGCGAAATTCACCAGGATTTTTTTTACTCTAGTATTGATTGTAATTATTGTCCTTGTACATGAATTTAACATTAATAAAATAAACAATATTATCTTTTGTCATTACAGTCTACACTGTCTATAACAGATCTTTCTATAACGGATTTTTCTCTATAATAATAATATTAATAATTTTCCATTCCGTACCAATTCAGCACCAATTCCGTACAATTCCGTACCTTTTTAATAACGGACAAATTTTCTGGTCTCAATGATCCGTTATAGACGGTGTGGACTGTATTATTATTATTATTTGACCTAGTATAATGAATTTTTGATTTTTATGATCCTTTCTCATCTCCTTCCTCTTTTGTTAATTTTAAATAGACCTATTCTTCCTAAATTTATCAAAAGTTGTAATATAACTTGAATCTTTTTTTATTTTTAAGAACCTTCACCACAAATGGTTTTGGTTCTTCATGGGTTCTAACACAATTACTACTGAATATACATTCATTCTCTAATTGGTGTTCTTGTAACTCTTTTTAATAATATTGTCAAACTCACAAATTAACATTTTTGCTCATATTATTTATATTATTTATATAAGTATCTCTCTTTATTTTATTTATATGTGTGTGTGTATCTTTATTTTATTATTTTATTATTTATTTTACTATTCAATAAATGATTAATTCCATTCATTACTAGACAGAAAATAAAAATTGCTTTATTTTTATTTTCAATGATGAAATTAATTTTGATTTTATTACAGGACAAAAGGATTATTGTGTTAAAAGGGATTTCTTGGCTCCTTCTCTTTCTTTCAGAAGACTGTGTTGGTTTCGCAACTAACTTTTCGTTGTGAAAATTAGTAATAATATTAGTAAAAATTTGTAACAATAATGAATATACAAAGGGTTCTGTGTATTCTGTATATTTAAAGATCATAAACGGACAGAAGAATTTTGCCTGTGTATTTTATTTTACATTCTCTGGACAAAAGCTATCTGATATCTATTTTTACTAATAATGTAGCCTAGGCTTTCATAACCAATTAATTTTATGATAATTGATCATGTTAACTTTGTCATTATGGTTATGAAGACAATTAGTCTTATGATACATTAAGATAATTTTCTATGAAGACATACCTTTAATAACATACCTTAATTAATGAAAATGTATGTACTGCAAGTGGTCAAAAATGAAGAAAATAATAACAAGTTTAACTAATAAATCAATAAACAAAACTACCTAATGATATAAATTTTAATACAAATAGACATTCAAATACCTTTATCTGGAAGTGGATATAATATATATTTATTATAACGAAGGTTCTAAACATTGGGTTTTTTGTATTTTTTTAAAGATCAAAGGTTCTATGTATTATGAAGATCAATGTCGTCTTACCCACCGGTTGTTTGAATATTTTGGTAATCGGTCAATCAATAGAAGTTAATAGCCGGATAATCAGTCGAATTAGAATGTTGATAACCGAATAATCGTAATAGTAAATACCCGATTATCCATTGGTTATTATTATTATTATTATTATTATATTATTATTATTATTATTATTATTATTATTATTATTATTATTATTATTATTATTATTATTATTATTATTATTATT